ATGAAAATCAACATCATTCCAAATTAAGTGACACAACCTCCATCCACTGGCATTCATAGAGTTATATCACATAAGCAAATAGCCTCATGGTAGAATGTTAAACATAGTAAGAAAAACACACACAAACGGGATGCTAAAGCATAAAAGACTTATATGTTTGACGACCCGTGAACAAACTACAAAACAAAGTTAGTAAAATATGCATGACCTTATGTACAAAATCCTAATGCAATTCACTCATGAGATGCAACTAAAGATTCAGCTTCTAAGATATGACATGTGAATCATCTCAAGAACATGAGGTAGCGCACATAATCACATAAGAATTGATCAAATCCACAAATGCAAAATTAGCCGAATCAAGATGTATGAAACATGGATGCAAAGCATGGATATAATGAAAGGAGAAATATGATTTTTTTGGAAAATTAGGAAACCCATGACTCATTCCAAAGCCACTGTTCGTCGTAACCAAAGTTGTCTTGGTTCGAAACCTTAGGTATGAGAGGGGAAGGTCATTAATTGAGTACCCCCACTCACTCGATCAAACGATCGACCTTTACTAACCATGATATGAGTTTTATTTTCTTTATATGTTCATGTCCTGATTTTTTAATAGCTCCTAAAATTTACTATGTGAAACATACAAGTATAGACTATGTCACCCACTTTGGAACAACTTGATTTCATGTACTTTTGGAGGAGTTTTGAAGATGTACAACCAACAAATTGAGCTTACAAACATGAAAATCAACATCATTCCAAATTAAGCGACACAACCTCCATCCACTGGCATTCATAGAGTTATATCACATAAGCAAATAGCCTCAAGGTAGAATGTTAAACATAGTAAGAAAAAAACACACAAACGGGATGCTAAAGTATAAAAAACTTACATGTTTGACGACCCGTGAACAAACTACAAAACAAAGTTAGTAAAATATGCATGGCCTTATATACAAAATCCTAATGCAATTCACTCATGAGATGCAACTAAAGATTCAGCTTCTAAGATATGACATGTGAATCATCTCAAGAACATGAGGTAGCGCACATAATCACATAAGAATTGATCAAATCCACAAATGCAAAATTAGCCGAATCAAGATGTATGAAATATGGATGCAAAGCATGGATATAATGAAAGGAGAAATATGATGCATGTTCACAAATAAAGAAAGCAAGTAAAAGAACGGGAAAGAAATAAGCAGGGTGGGGGAATTATTACAACACTTTGAATAAATTATTACAAACCAAATTAGAGGGTGGGTGAGGAGAATATTACAACAAAATAAAAACCTCACAATACACTCAAAATAAAATAAACAAAAAAATAAAAATAAGAGTTTCATGTGCCTTGGAAACCACCAAAAGTTGGTTAACATCAGAGGGCAACGCCGTCTTGCCCAAAAGAAGTTAACCGGCCGGCCAAATAGGCCGATCGGCCAACTAGGCCTAGTAAAACGTGTTTTATCGTGAAACCAAGAAATGGAACAAACAAGAAATAGGTAGGTGGCTCAACTAACCACTACCGATTAGATTTAAAACAAGAAGACAAATATAAAATAAATAAAAAAAAGTGCACACTTACAACAAAACTAACATGAACCTAAAACAAGAAAACAAATATAAGGTAGAGCATGCAAGATTACAACAAAACTAACATGAACCTAAAATAAAATAAAATAAAATAAAGAAAATATGAGGTAGAACATGCAAGATTACGACAAAACTAATATGAAATTAGAGCAAGTGAATAAAAATAAATAATTATGAGCTAAACAAACCACTTAGGTTACAACAACACACTATGAAATATAAAGTACGAAAATAAATATGAGATAAACAAACCACGTGGATTGTAACAAAACACTATGAAATAAGAAGTAAGAAAATAAATATGAGATAGAAAATATAAGAAAACGAAAGGCTAAAAATTCACCTTCCAAAGAAAGGTTGAACTTCTTGATTTCCAAACTTCCTCTTGATCACCCTCAAGTTTAGGAAGTGTGTTCTCAAATCCTCAATTCGAAATTATGGAGTTTATGGTATGGAAAGTGGCTAACTCTCTAGTTTTTCTCACTTTCAATCGCTAAATACTCTTTCTTATGATCAAGGAAATTGATCTTTGGCTATATTAGAATTTTTGGAGTAGTTTTGGTGTATAGAAATGAGAAATTTCAGTAGCTATGGAAGGTATGAGGTGTTTATGGAAGATAGGAGTATTTTTTGCTCAAAAACTCAAAATTTCTCTCTTTTTTAACTCTTTTCTCCCTCTTTTCTCTTCAATTTTGTGGTCTCTCTCTCTCTTTTACAACATGATCCTTCTATATGGTAAATGAGGGTGAGTAAAGGTCAAAAAGAAGGTGGGAGACAAGAATGTGATAGGAGGGCAAATTTTCAAGGTGGTTGCATGGGATACTCCTTTATGGATGCCAACAAAACCTCTTTTTGACAATAAGGAATGATTAGGTATAATGGAGGATGAGTGGGTGTACTTGAATGGATCAGAAAATAGGTAAATGGGGTGTCCCAACCGAACCAAAGCCAAGAAAAATGGGGCTGCTGATGTTTTGCGCCGAGTCAACAAAATCTCCTATTAAGCCTAATTTCAAATGGGCATATCTCTCTTATCCGCACTTAGTTTTAGGTGATTCTTGAGTCTAAATTGAAACCCCAAAAGTCTACTTTTCAATGGTGGTGGCCTCACATTTAAATTCCGAGTGTACAAAGAGATATGCCTAATTTAGTTAAAGTTGTTCATTTCCCTCGGGCCAGCTTAACAAAATCTGCTCTTAAGCCCAACTTCAAATGGGCATATCTCCCTAATCTGGAGTTGGTTTTAAGTGGTTCTTGGGTCTAAATTGAAGCCACATAAGTCTCCTTTCCAATGGTAGTGGCCTCACATTTAAAATCCAAGTGTACAAAGAGATATGCCTAATTTAGTGAAGGTTGTTCATTTCCTTCTTAACAATTTGATGCTCATCCTTTCCCTAAACCAATTTTCTTCCATCCCCTCCTGTTTTCTTCAAATCCAAACCTATCCAAACCTATAAAGAAGATATTTTTTAAATATTTTTTTCAAAGAGTTCACATCCCTTCCATTTATTTCTACTTTGTCCTTACTCGGTTTACTGAAAAGTGCAATATTTTAATTGAAATGGGAGCCTCGGAACATCGTAGAAACATTTAGAAAAATATTTTGAAAAGAGGGTTTTAAAGTCTAAAATAGTTTGGCCAAAAATGTGTGAAGGTAGGGATTAAAGCTAGAATTCCATTTTTCTTGTTGAGGACTGTTGGGGAACACATTTTGATTGTCATCATCGGGTAATCAACAGAAAGCACCTAAGTCTTAGGGCTTGTCAAAATGGGGTGCCTACATTTAGTAAAGCTATGTTCCACTTTAATTATTTTTTGTATGAGGAAATAGGATCTATTTTCTGAATGTTATGTTCTGTACAATGAATGACTGTCCATATATTGAAAAGAATTCGTGGCATCCTTATCTCATGTGGCCCTCGCCGGGGGGTAACAATACCGTGGCCAATATGCACATAACCTTCACCCGGGGGTAACAATACCAAGGCCTATGTTCACATGGCCCTTGCCTGGGGGTAACAATACCATGGCTACTTGTCCACAAGATGTGGACCTATCCGGTTGTTGGTACCGACTATGCAAATTTGATATGATATGACAGGTAAGGGATGCATCACATATAACTACTATGATTTCTGGTTAAGCATGCGAAATTGAATTGTTTCTGATTTGTATTTTGCTATGGGACATCATTCATTAAATCCTTTACTCTGTTATTATTCACCGGACTTTCGCTCACTATTTACGTTGTGTATGTAGTGAGCAGGTGTGTGACAAGGCCTAAGCTACTGCCTAGAGTTTTGGGTCAGCCAGCCACCGTGCCTCCTGGGGAGTTTCCCTTTTGAGATGTCATGTATAGAAGTCGAGTTTTGTGAATCATGTAAAGGATGTTTCGTTTTGTGTTTTTGTTGTCCATCGGGGCAAAGTCACTTATGACACTATCGGTATCTATATGATGATACATGGTGTATGAAAGTTTGACTTTGCATATGTATATTTAAATTTTAAACCTTTCTATCCCATGTATGTTTGCACAGCTCTATGGACTATGCATATTTTATATATTTGCTTCCGCAACCCCTGATTATTTGTTAATTTTGTTCAGAGGCCTTGGGTAATCTAAGGATTACTAGCTGGTTATGATGTTGAACTCTATTGGGATGGGTTTGGGTCGTGATAGAGTGGTATCAGAGCACGCGTTATACCGCACACACAAGTCCATAAGAGCTATATGATGTCCTAGAAAGAATTAGGCACATTACATCTGCATGTGAGAGTATGTGTTATATTCTGTAAATGTGCAAGATGAATCTGAATGTGAACTTATGAACTTATGCAATTGAAAGAATGAACTTACTCTGAACATCGTGAACAAGATTATTCCTTTGTTTATTAATGCTTTGTTTACCTATAGCAAATGGAAAATACAAGAAATAATGATGCCACTAAGTTCTCTGAGGCCTGAATGAGCAGAATGGAATAGATGCTTGTAGCTCTAACTGAGGCAATAACGCAATAACGCAACAACAGAGGCAACAACCATTACCCCACCACCTCTGGTGCCAGTTGAATAGGAAAATACTGATATTATTGCACTAACACAAAAGTTCAACAAAATAAAGCCGCCAATCTTTTTGGGTGGGATTGAACCGTTGAAAGATGAAACATGGCTGTTGGAGACTGGAAAGATATTTGAAGTATTTCTATGCTCAGAAACTCATAAAGTTCTTTTGGCCACCTATACACTGAATGAAGAAGCTAGACGATGGTGGATGCTTATCTAAGATGACAGTGGAACTATGACATGAAATCAGTTTAAAGGAATATTCTACAAGAAATATTTTTCCCAATGCTTCAGAGAGTGCAAGGTGTCATGATTTCAAGAACTAAAGTAAGGCAAGATGTCTGTAGCCGAGTATGAGGCTAAGTTTACCGAGTTTGGCAGATTTGCTCCTCATATGGTTGACGTGGATTACAAGAAGGCTCGGAAGTTTGAAGGGGGATTAGACTTGGGCGTGTTTGATCGAGTGGGAGTTCTAAAGTTGCCTACATATGTGGAAGTACTTGATAGAGCAATGATGGTAGAGGCCATTTTAGCAACAAAGAAACAAGCCCCAGCTCCAATAACTGAATGGAAGGGTAACAGATCTGGATTTAATTTCAAAAAGGGCAATTCATTTACAAAAAGACAGAATACAGGATTCTCTAGTAGCTCTAGTCAAAATAGTGGATCCATTCCAAACTGTCCCGATTGTGGAAGAAAGCATAAAGGCACATGTTACTGTGCATCATGTGCTCATTTTCGGTGTGGCAAGACTGGCCACCTGGTTAGAGATTGTCCACTGAGATCCGACAATGCCAACCGTCCTGCAGCAAGTTTGGCCGGGTCTATTTCTGTGGCAAGAACAAATGAAAGAGCTAATGCTAGGGGTAACACGGGAAATGAGACGTTAAGACAGAGGAGAGTGTTCGCATTACAACCTGGGGATGTACAAAACACCGAGTCTGTAGTGTCAGGTATAATTTCCATCTGCAACCAAAATGTATATGTCTTGATAGATTCTGGTTCTACGCATTCTTTTGTGTCGCATGCCTTTTCTCAGAAATTAACTCGACCTTTAGAGCTATTGAATTACTTGTTATCTGTATCTATACCGTCTGGCGGCTCTCTATTATGTGTTTATGTGTACCTTGCATATGACATCATGATTGGGAATATGTTGTTATATGTTGATTTGTTACCACTGGATATTACTCATTTTGATTGTATTCTAGGTATGGATTGGTTGACTAAATACTACGCTACCATTGACTGTGTGAGTAAATCTATGGTGTTTTGACCCCCTGGTGTGCCAAAATTTTTCTTTATTGGGAATGAGGTAGTCCATCTTCCATATTCGATTTTCATTTATGAAAGCTAGCAAGTTGTTAAGAAAAAGGTGTCGGGGCTACTTGTGTTCTGTGTTGGATGAAACTTCTGATAGTCCTAATGTGGAACCCATCCCTGTTGTTTGTGAATTTCTTGATGTGTTTCCGAATGACTTACCTGGGGATTTAATTGATAAAGAGATTGAATTCACGATTGATGTGATATCTGGAACACAACCAATTTCAAAAACCCCTTATAGAATGTCAACTTCTGAACTTAAAGAGTTGAAAGTACAACTCCAACAAATCTTAGACAAGAAATTTATCCGCCTAAGCACTTCACCATGGGGTGCTCTTGTGTTGTTCGTCAAAAAGAAAGACGGGTCTTTGAGGTTGTGTATTGACTACGGTAAGTTGAACAAAGTGACTGTAAAGAACAAATACCCATTGCCCCGAATAGATGATCTATTTAACAAACTTCAAGGAGCACAAGTGTTCTCCAAGATAGACTTTAGATCTGGGTATTACCAGTTAAAAGTCAAGGGAGAAGATGTAGAGAAAACTGCATTCAAAACTAGATACAGACACTATGAATTCTTAGTAATGCCATTTGGGGTAACAAATGCACCTGTGGCTTTTATAGACCTAATGAGTAGGGTTTTCAAACAATTCCTTGATGAGTTTATTGTTGTGTTCATCGATGATATATTGATTTATTCTAAAAGCAGGGAAGAACATGAACATCACCTAAGAACTGCTTTGTAAATTCTGAGACAAAAGAAGTTCTATGCAAAATTGTCCAAATGTGAATTATGGTTTGATAGCATGGCATTTTTGGGACATGTGATTGACAAGGATGGTATATCAGTGGATCCACAGAAAATTGAAGCCATTGTAGATTGGCCAAGGCTAACCAATGTGTCTAAAGTTAGAAGTTTTCAGGGCTTGTAGGGTATTATCGTAGATTTGTGAAAGACTTTTCAAAACTTGCTATGCCATTGACACAATTGACATAGAAAAATGTACCCTTTGATTGGACTGATTAGCAGGAATCAGCTTTCCAAGAACTGAAGACTAGATTGGTAACAGCACCAATTCTGACATTGCCCAACAGAACTGTTGGGTTTTAGATTTACAGTGATGCTTCCTATGAAGGCTTGGGGTGTGTTAATGCAGAATGGGAAAGTGATTGCCTATGCTTCTCAACAACTTCGCCCTCATGAAAGGAATTACCCAACTCATGACCTTGAATTGGCAGCCGTAGTTTTTGCATTGAAAATTTTGTGCCATTATCTGTATGGAGTGACTTGTGAGGTGTATACGGATCATAAAAGTTTGAAATATTTCTTCACCCAAAAGGAACTGAACATGAGACAACGAAGATGGTTAGAGTTGATTAAAGATTATGACTTATAGATTTTGTATCATCTGAGGAAGGCAAATATAGTTGCGGATGCTTTGAGCCGAAAGTCCATTGGAAATTTGTCATGTTTGCTCACCAGTCAGAAAGAGTTGATGTATGACCTAGAAAGAAATGGAATTGAGATTGTACTATGGGAACAAGGCGGGATTCTAGCCGCCATTCCTGCCTAGCTTGCAATTTTTGAAGAGATTGGGGAGAAACAACTGCAAGATACATTTCTGAAAAAGATTGTGGATGAAATTGACTCAAAACTGAGGCTGGGATTTGTGCTTGATAATAGTGTGTTGAAATTTCAGAATAGGCTCTGTGTACCGGATTGTCCCGACTTGAGGAAACGTGTTATGACTGAAGCTCACAACTCTAAATTTGCTATGCATCTGGGGAATACGAAGATTTACCATGATTTGAAACTGAATTTCTAGTGGCCTAGAGTGAAGAAAAGCATTGTTGACTATGTGGCTAGATGTCTACATTGCCAAAAAGTAAAGGCTTAACATCAACGATCCACTGGATTACTTCAGTCGCTTCCAATATCAGAATGGAAGTGGGAGCACATTACTATGGACTTCATTATGGGATTGCCTTGCTCATCTCGAAATATGGATTCAATTTGGGTCATTGTTGATCGTTTAGCTAAATCTGCCCACTTTTTGCCTTTCAAATCCTTGTATAATGCGAATAAATTGGCTAATTTGTATGCCAATGAGATTATGAAATTGCATGGAGTTCCAATTTCCATAGTGTCTGATAGGGACCCTAAGTTCAATTCAAGATTCTGGCAGAGTCTACAGTAAGCTTTAGGAACTCAGTTAAGACTGAGCAAAGCTTACCACCCATAGACAGACGGCCAATCAGAAAGAACAATACAGACGTTGGAGGATATGCTCAGAATGTGTGCCCTAGCTTTTGAAGGCAATTGAGAGACCTACTTACCATTGGCTGAATTTGTGTATAACAATAGCTACCATTCGAGCATCGGTATAGCCCCTTATAAAGCTTTGTATGGTAGGAAATGCCATTCTCCGATCTGTTGGGATAAAGTAGGTGACAAACCCTTGTTGGGACCGGAACTTGTGCAAGAAACAATAGAAAATGTGAAATTGATTCAACAAAGATTGAAAATTGGACAAAGTCCCAAAAGAGTTATGCGGATGTCCAAAGAAGAGATAGGGAATATGAAGTTGGGGATCACGTGTTTATCAAATTAACTCCGATGAAGAGTCAAACGCGGTTTGGAGTAAAAGGCAAACTGGCACTAAGAATTGTTGGGCCATACGAAGTCCTTGAGAAGATCAACCAAGTGACGTATCAGGTAGCCTTACCGCCGGTCATGGAACATATACATAATATTTTTCATGTTTCGATGCTTCGGGAATATTTACAAGATCTACTCCATGTAATTGAGGCTGCTCATGTGCTTTTGAAAGATGACTACACATATAAGGAAAGGCCAATTCAAATTGTAAATCAAAGAATCAAAAGATTAAGGAACAAAAAAATTCCATTAGTGAAAGTGGATAGGCAAAATCACGGAGGGACATATGCAACATGGGAGATAGAAGAGGATATGATGAAGACACACCCAGATGTAGACACCCCATTTTTAACCGCCCTTAAGACTTGGGCGCCACTGGTTGATAACTCGATGATGAAAGTTATGTTCTGCAAATGTTCGATTTTTTCAGCAAGAAGAGCTTCTAAATCCAAACCTTACACCCCATTTTTGACCAAAACTATTTTAGACCTTAAAACCCTCTTTTTCAAAATATTTTTTTCAAAATGTTTTAACGATTTTCCGAGGCTCGCATTTCGTTAAAAATTGCACTTTTCGGTAAAACTAATAAGGACAAAGTGGAAATAAATGGAAGAGAGGCGAACACTTTGAAAAATATTTATGAAATTCTTATTTATAGGTTTGCAGTTGAAGAAAATTGGAGGGAAGGGAAGAAAACTAGTTGGGGGAAAACTTAGGCATCAAGCCATTAGGACGAAACTGAATAGCCTCCACTAAAATAGGAATATCTCTTTGCACACTTAGAATTTAGATGTGAGGCTAGCTCCATTGGAAACTAGACTTCTAGGGCTTCAATTTAGACTCAAGAATGACCTAAAATCGAGTTCGGATGAGGGAGATATGCCTATTTGAAATAGAGCTTGGAAGCAGATTTTTGTGGCCGGCCACTTTAGTGGCCTACCGGCCAGTTGTGCAAAATTTGGCCATTTTGCATGTTTTGGCTAGCCAAGTGTCCCCCACTAGTGGCCTGCTGGCCACTTGTGTCCAAAAGTTAGATTTGTGCAGATATTTGTTGCCAGTTTGTATATAGATATTTTCGACTGAGGCTCATGTTTTCTATATATAGAGGACCTCCCGTCTTATTTTCAAGGTTGGAAAAATTTAGGAGTGAGAAAATACTTTTAAAGAGAAAATTTTGGAAAATTCCTGTATCTCTACAATTCTCTCTCTCTCTCTCTCTCTCTCTCTCTCTCTCTCTCTCTCTCTCTCTCTCTTACAACTTGTATAGCCTTTGTCTAAACACTCTAAACCAAACCTAGAAAGCTTCTTGCTGTGGTGATTTGAGTTTGAATTTGAGCTCTTAAGGCACTTGAGAGTGAAATTAGTGGTTTGTAACTCAAAGAAGCATTCCTCTTCAAGAGGTATACCTTTTAGTCATTTTGTACCATCTTTGCACTACTTGTTTTCCATCTTTTCTACTATTTTTTGGACTGTTTATTACCTGTATTTTTTGGCTCAAACTTATGGTTTAAGGCCATTAAAGGTGGGGGGTTTGATAGCCCTTCTTTGCACCTTGCTTCTAAAGCCTTTGCCCTTGTGTTTCCCACCTTCTCATCATCATTTTTTGAGCTTTTTATCACTTATTTTCAAAGTTTTTTCAGAGGCAAAAATCATGTTTTTGAAGTCCCAAAAGTGGAGGGGTTAGCCTCCCCTCCTTGTGCTTGTGTGCTAGTATTAATTGTTCGATATTTTAGCTTATTGTTTTAGCTATTTTTGTTTTCATTCCAACACATTTTTGGACTGTTATATGACTGTTTTAGGACTATTTTAAATTTTTCATTGCGTTTGAGCTTTGTATAGCATGCTTGTAGTGTAATGGTCCTCATAGGTTTGGTTGTTTAGGCCTTAGCCACCAACCTATTTAAGTTGATAGTGTTTATTTCTTACTTTCCATACTTGTTTTCATCTCTAATCACCTCTGCAACCTCCCTCTTTTCTTAGATTTTTCTTTTCTTTTAAAGTTGTTTCAAACTAGTTGCTTGTTTAAGCTTGAGATTGAGGTATTGTGCTTAATGGTTTAATCCTTTTGGGGATTCATTACCAACGGTATGACATTTCTCTCACGCCTAAAACAACACTTGGTTTGGTACCCCCTTCCATTAGAGGACTTAAAGCTTACTTTTGGACTCAATTGATTAAGGAATGGTTGGTAATTAAAATAGAGTAATAAAATGAGAACTAAAAATGATGCAAGATAATAAGCAATATGATGTTCAATCAGACGTTAATTGAACACATGGAAACTTGAGGCATTTCATACTTGCTAGTGATGAAATGGTCAAGTTTTCAAGGTCAACTGCTTCCCTTGATCAATTCATGATAAGGAGGAGATGTGGGAGTCTTTTCTTGTGCATTTATTGAAATTGTACACTTTGGTTTATAGGCCATCATACAATGAAATTGCATCGATTGATGGCTTCTGAATTGAGCTTTCCACTCCTTTGAGCTGTTTGATGATGAGGGGTAAAGTGTACAAACATACCTTGAGAATACCCTGTTTTGTGCTCTGTATGTTTTCTGTTGTAGTAGGGGGAACCAAGCTTTAGTGGCTGGTAGGCCATTATTTTTGGACGGTAGGCTACAATTTGTGGCTGCCCGGCCACCACTTCTAGCCTACCGTCCACTTTCGTCAAATTGAGCAGCAACCTTTTTTGAACAGAACAGAGCAGAGGATGAGTTGAAAGATGTTCTATTATGCAACAGAAGCATTCTGGCAGCAAAACAGTGGGCTTTTGGAATGGAAATCCATGCACGCATGAGCATTCCTCGCTTCCCGAGGCTGATTAGTTAGTTTCATTACTTATTTCATGTTGTATTCATGTTGTAATTAGTTAGCTAAATTAGAATTTGTAATTAATTAATTAGTGTACTTATTTCGTTAGTTCAAATTAGTGTACTAATTTGCTAGAATAGTTCATTGATTGTGATGTTGTAATAACTAGCTAGCATAGTTCGTTTATTTGTTATTGTAATAGTTAGTTAATTTGTTGTTGTAATAGCTAGTTAATTAGCTTAGCTAGTTAGCTTATTCGGACCCTCCTGCGCGAGGGCACAGTTGTAATAATGTGTATGTCTTCCAACCCTACATCTTTCTCCCTTTTATTTACCTGCTTATGATGGTTAGTTTAGAGCATCATATTTCGTTTAGCATCTTTCATGCCTCGCATCCATTGTCTTGCATGCATTGAGCTTGGTGCGTCATTCGAATTTTCATTGTTATTGCTTACACTTCTTTGAATACGTGCTTTACCGCATGCTATCAAATTGATTAACATGCCATGTTAAGTAGCTGAGCCTATTTAGATTGCATATCTCATGCGTTGCACTAGCCATTGCATAGTTAGGATCATGCATTTTTTTAACTCTTTTATCTTTTTTGGCTTGAAATACTAGATGAGCTTTTACTTGCTTTA